GTTATTTATCGATAGTGATTATAATCATTATATATCAATAATCGTTATTTATCGTTAGTGATATATATCGATATATATCTGCTTAAAAATTTTGCTGATGAAGACAAAACCAAAAGCACCTTTTTATCGAAGTATTACTACAGAAAATATTGATAAGATTGTAAATAGTAGGATTCAGGCATTACAGCAATCAATGCTAAATCAATCACCAGCATCTTCTTCTGGTCAGAAAAATATTACTAAGGCTGATTTACAAGTTGTAGCTAAATTCTTGCAAAAGACTATGTTTCGAGCGACTAAAACTCTAGATAATAGTAAAAAATCGGCTGATAAGAGAGTGGAAAATATTGCCGTTATATGTTTTTTGAGTGACTTACTAAGAAAAAAACTATATATACACCCTGCCAATAAAAATAATCATGATCCTGTAGATGATATTTCAGATAGTTTAGCGAGATTAACATTAAATAGTGTTATAAATACTGCTATCAAATGTGCTATTAAGAAATCCTCTTTGGGTCACAAATGTTCCAAGTGTGGAAGATCTAGACACAATTCCCGAAACTGCTCTCGAAAGAAAAAAAAGAAAAGCAAGAAGTCTAAAAAGGGTAAAGTTAATCTAGCCACTGTAGATTCAAACTCAGATTTAGATTCTACCACTAATATATCATCTAGTGATAGCTCTGACTCTGATACAAGTTCAGAAGATTCTTCCGATTCTGGAGGTGATATTACCGTTAATATTGCTAAGTTAAAAAAAAAGTGAAACAGAACTCTAGCTCCAAGAAATCGTTTCTTAAAAAGTTGCCTAAAACTTTATTGGAGGAAACTATTTGTAAAATCCTCCAAAATGAACTTAAACTAATTTTTTCTAATTATTTCTTCCAAAACTCTATTAAAGCCAATATACCAAATCAAGCGTTTCTATTCTAGGAAAAGATAAAATCTCAAAGCAATACTTCTCCAATTGCCGAGGTCGTATCGCCAGACCTAGAGGAGAAAGACTATTTGGATAGCCTGATGGAAATCGATTTCATCAAGAAGAAGGAGCCACCTACAAGCATTGCAACTGTGAAGTGTAAAATCAAGCGCTTAAAGATTCCTGCTATGACCCTTGATTCTGGAGCAGAGCCTTCTATAGTAACCAAAAATATTGTTGATCGCATAAAGGCCAAAATTGATAAGTTTGAAACACACGATCTTAGTAGTATCGCTACTGTTCCGGTTGAATCTATTGGAGTAGTTCACGATTTACCTATTACTTTAGCCCTCGGTCTTACCATTTATGAAGATTTTGTTGTCATGAAATATAACAAGCTAACCCTAATATTTTCTAACCAGCTTTTAAAAAAATATAATTGTGCTGTATATTGGGATAAAAATGAATTAAAGTTTCCTTATAATGGAAAGAATTATATCATTCTGGTAACCATACATAAAGTCAAAAATAAGCTTGAGGTAAATTGCATGAATATTACTTCTGAATATGAAAAGTTTGTCTCTTCAGAGCTATTTCGCAAGACTCGCAAGACTTAAGTAAGAATGATGATATATTAAAAAAAAACCTATGAACTATGAAAAGCTTGAAAAAATGCTATATATCACTCTCAAGTATAATGCAGAAATCAATAAATATTGCGAAAGACTACAGACATGCTATGATAAACTTCTTTAAAAATAGGTTAGTTATTTTCAAAGTTATACTTTCATATTTGCTAAATTTTTATTGCTTCTTTCAATCATCTCCTCATACAATGCATGTAATTTCTCTTTATTTATATCTGAGCTTTTTAAATTCACGGGTTGAGACTGAATAGTAGATAGTATTAATGGAGCTAGCTCATTTTTGGGTTTTGATTTTTTTCCTCCAGATTTTTTTACTTTACTTTCTTCTGGGGTCGAATCAGTAGATTTGCTAGGCTCTACCCTCACATTACATATTTTATTTTCTAGTTCTGTGAAGAGAGAAGCATTTTGGTCATGTATATCTGACTCAATCTGTTCTATCTTACCAGTCTGGGAATTCTCAACCAAAACAGGCTAAGATGGAATAATACCTTGCTGGAGACATTCTTTATTATCCCATATTTCATAAACATGCTTGGGTCCAATATGGAATTTATCAGCCATTTTTTTTGATGCATTGGGTATTTTACCTCTGGATTCTCTAATTTTCTTGATATTAGCTTCTGATAACAAGGTTGCCTTAGCATCATAAAATGTATCATGGATACGGGCTACCATCTTCACTAGATTTTATTTTATATACTAGAAAAAAAAATAATAATCTTTAATAAATATCAATACATATCAATATATGTATATCAATACTTTTCAATATATATTAATATATTTCAATACCCACTAATGCATATTAATGGTCTTCAATATATATTAATATATCACCAATACGTATTAATACTCTTCAATATATATTGATATATCATCGATGTGTATCAATATATATAGTATTTATAGAAAAAAAAAATAAATTGCAACGTATTTTTCTTGCTATATAATCATACCAAGATTATGCACAATGTGCATACACTGAAAGATATAAAAAATAGAGAATATAGGCTAAGAAGTGTATATGAGCAAGAGCTCGAAAAAAAAATTAAATTTAGCTATTGAATATAACTCTAAAATTAATGATCTTAGTGAAGAGTTGCAGGCTAAAATTTTAGAGTATTCAGAGCAAGAGGAAAAGTTTCACCAAATCAACGCTGTTGTTAAAAATAAGATTAGCTAGATAGATGCAGTTAATACTAGGCTTAAATCCCAAATTACTTCTGAACAGATGTCCCGTAATGGGCTTGAAGTCAAACATTCTGCCAAATAAAATCACTCAAATCTTCGATAGAATCATTGAAGTGAGAAGCGACCTTGGCCCAGAAAGCATCATCCCTCGATAAGATCAAGATTCTTTCTCTCAAAGCTAAGATAGGTGAATTGGAAGCTGAAGTGAAGCGTCTGGAACTAGAACGTGTAGGTTCCCCATCACGTGCATCTCAAGATTCGGGAGGGTTACTAGAGAAGCTGGCCAAAACAAACTCATCTGAAATTGATTCTCTTAGGCTTGAATTGGGACAGGTAAAAGAGGATTTAAATTCAAAAAAACATGAAATAGAATGTATAGAAAAAGGAATAGAGGCAACAGATGTTATATATAAACGGAAATTAGATAGATTGTCTTCTGTGCAATTAAATTTAATGGAGGAAAATTCTCACCTCCGAGGTTTAGTATTAAAGAAAGATAATAAAGCGGTCCCAGAAGTATCAGCTAAGCATGTGCCTCTCCTTACGAGTGATACAAAAGAAAAAGAGAGTGAACAGGTTCTAAAAGAATCACAACTTTCCACTCTTAACCCTCCACTCTCTCAAATATTTTCTGTAGATAGTGCAAAAGCTGAGTCTTTACTAGCAACTACTCCTACCATTGCGGGTTCCTTAATAATGCCAACGATAATATATTCCATACTTACCTTACTACTGATTGCAATTATATAGATTGTAGTTGGAAAAAAAATATGGAAAAAAAATAACCAATACATTTAGACTAGCGATTTATATCTCTGAACATATTCGTGGCCAGACTATGTAATCGGAGGACCAGGCTGGAAGAGGCCATCCTGTAACCAGATTGAATATAGGAATTGAAGTTAGCACATATCATTACAGGAAAAAAAAATATATAAATATTATTGTAAGTATTTTTAGCTGAAATTGCTACACACGCTAAGAATACTTAACAATATAATTTGATAATATCATCTATATTCACTTCAGATGAATTATCTTTTTATCTTCCTGTAGCTTTGATAATGCCTGATAACGTGTGAATTCTAGACCAGCTATCCTATGCTATATATTCTGCAAACTGGTTAGTATACCATACTCATTTTCTAGATTATACGATAACATATATCTTTCTAAGTTCATAGCTTTTGATTTGTACTGCCAGTCTTAGTAACTAATCTATACATTTCTTCTTTACACCCTATATCATCTTGGAAAAGTTCTGTAAGTAATGTTGTTAGTTTTAAGCAGATAGATTCCTCTTGCTTATTTAATGTATTGAGAAAGGAAGTCCAATATGACTTATTTTCTAAGTATTTTTCTATGCTATTAGTATAAGTGGTATCATATAAATTTTTCGCATAAATATTAGCTTCTTCCCATAGATGGGATATGATAGTCTCATCTTTTTTTGGGCCATCACATAGATCTTTGATATACCCTTTAATCCACTTTTCAGCTGATTTCTGCGCTAAGGCATCTTTTATATTTGATATCTCGTCTTTATTCAAATCTTTGCTATCTTTTGATTTTTCTACGGATTCAGATGATAGCTAGTATCTATCATCATAATTTATAAAATATGTACAAAGGCCAGCAATACTTTTCAGATAATAGTTAATATCGATCCTTTTACCTAATCGCCTTACTACCTCTGGATACTTCATTTTATCTCCTATCCTCTGTGATGAATCATTCTCAACTACAATATACTCAAAGTGCTCACCTAGTTCTGGAATTTGGTAAAGATAAGGTTCTGATGTCAAGCCCTTTTTTATAAGTCATTGGTCTTCAGCTTTTTTACGAATATGCCTATCTTGCATTCATAAAATAAAGTGTTGAACAGATTTGTTATCTTTATCAGGCTTCTACGCACAAGTTTGAACCAATTCATTAAGGTTTATCTGAGAAATATCATTTATGGTTTTCTTGAGTACTTCCTCCACAATCTGATGCAAAGTACGTGAATTGTTCATCTTCATAAATTCATCTATAATATCCTTTCCTATTTTGCGGAAAGGAGTAGAATGCCCTCGTTTTATAGTCTCTACCCCGAATGAAAAGCTTTTTATTAAAGTTCGGCTTGCTTTCATGTGGAATGCCATAGTATTTTTTCTTTCTAGTAAATACTACTGGAAATAAGACTTCTTCATATGCTATTTTAAGATAAGTCGATCTGTTATCTTTTCTAAGAAAGTCATTAACTTTGTCGCAGAGTTTCTCCATTACTTCCATAGAGATGTTCACTATTCTAGACCAATATTCTTCTTTCGAGATCCCATTTCCACTGTCATATGTCTCATCATATTTCTGGAAGCATTCTTCTGGACAAACAAGATATAAGAAATCAATATCCCTATATTTTATCCAGAAGCTCTTGCTTTTAACGAAATCTGCGACAAGTTTGATATTTTTCTGTCCAGCTGATGTGACACCTCCAGCAAGTTTACGCAAGAAGAAAGAGGATATGCTATTTCCAGCCTCACCATAGAATGTATTTATATATACCTTAAGAGCATTTTGTTTCGCATCTAAGCAAGAATAGTCAAAAGAAACTGAATCATATTTTGCTATGAATTCATGTTTTTCTTTATTAATAAAATAATATAGATTTTTGCTAAGGCTGGCACGTTGTTTTCCCTCTGCATTTGCTAAAACTTGCTTGATAGCTTCTGGTAATGACAAGCCTTTACCCATTTTACCTATTACCAGTTTCATGTCTTCCTTTTTATATTTCAAGGGTACGAGAGATTTTTTTATCTCAACCTGTTTACCATATAAATACTCCAGCATACTGACATAGAGACCCTTTTCTTCAGAAATGTTATGATGCTGAATGGATCATGCAAGAATATCCTGACCATTAAATTTAAAACTAATTTCATGAAGCTTTTTATCACTTTGTTTAGTATGCTCTCGAGATAAAATGATTTTATCAGGTGAGAGATTATATGTCATAATAAGATTTGAATATAGTGATGCAAAGTCTAAGCCAGTTACAGGACATTTATTTTTGAGGCCTTTTATTGGTGGGAAGATATAAGCTCTAGGATATTTTTTAGTTTCAGTTTCCTCTTTTGAGATTGTACTAGATAGAACCCCTCTTTGCTATACGCTAGCACTTAAAAGGTTGCAAACCTTCATACCCTTGCAAAATAATATGCATCGAATAATGATAAGAAGGCTAGAGTTACTAGCTCCCTATATTCATTGATTACATTGTGCTTGACCATTAACCACTAACAGCTAAGAGCGTCGATAATGCAGTATTTGGCCATTTTGCGCATCTGCTCAGCTATTGTAGTATTTGTTTCTTTTAATGCCCTTTCATAATACTTGTTTATACAATGAATAGGTTGGTCCACTTTGTTATCAAGTTCACACTCCCTTAAGTAAAATACGAGACTACTTTTTTCAGCTTTAGAATAGAATCTCTTAAAACAGGGCCGGATATCAATAGCCACATAGCCGGGAATTTTAAGATGTTTCGAATAGAATTTTCCATCATTTACTTTTATCATATTATACCGATATTCCTATTTTATAATTTTTCAAGGCTCGATGGCTTGAATGACATATGATTGAATATCCATTCAAAAACCCCTAATTTATTAGCCTTCTTCACAATAAATTTCCAGTCATATTGTGAATCATTAAAGCCTATTTGTATATCTGGGGCTAAGAATTTCCAACACAATACGAATACTTTTAGTAAATTGGTCTGAGATCTATATACGATTGTAATCCATTATGGGTCTGGAGTGGTTTCAACATCAACAAGACAAATTTGTTTTAACGGTTTGGGATCATCTTTCCAATAAACTGTCATGCAAATCATGAATACAACGTCTTCTTCATATTTTGTATTAGGTATCTCACCTGTTTTTCGTGAGCTATATGTTTCAATATCCTACGTGAGAACACGGATGCGATTCTATAAAAGTGCCGAGGAAAATAATGGATTGTTATAATTGTCTTCACTTATTGGATTATAATTATTTACAGATGCTTAGAAGAGATAAGTACCCTCCTGAATGTATTCGTATAAATAATTACTTAATACTGCCCAACTCGAAAGAGGTAATCTTTCTTCATAGGCTACTTTGCAGTAATAATACTGGCAATTTAGATCATCCAAAGCTGTACACATACCAACAGCACAGACTGCTTTTAATGCATTATACTGGTCATAGTGGTTTCATGTTCTCACACGGATATATGGTTTCTTTTCTATATGGTACTCCTGAAGTAGGAAAGCACTAATAGTCTCGATCCCAAACTTCGATATGCTATTAAGAATATTAGATAATATCTTTACTAATTTGGTCTTAAACATAGATAATGACATCTCTTCAGGTACTTCGATATCAAAGAAGGGTTTGATACCTATAATATTCACAACTGCCTTTTGTCTATCAATCAAAGTACTAGCAATATGCAAAATATAGGTGGAAACCCCTTTTACATATTCGGTATCATTACTAACTTCAGTAGGCATAAAGTATACAGGTTGATTATTAAATAAGCATTGCTGAAGTATAGCAGTCATCCCATTATCATGTTCTGCTACGATCTCATTATGTGATAGAATATTAGCTAAAGTCTCGATACCGTCGTAGCAGGTGAGGGGGCTAGTTCTAGTGCGATTAGTTTGGTTAGAAATAGGTGTGGTATGCATGTTGTCAGTTTGAAAAGTTATAATAACACAATATATTTCTGAAATGTTTAATTATTTTTTTTAATAAGTATAAAAAAAGACACATAGCAGGTTGACAAAAGAAATGGGAATAAATATATTCTTAATAGATAATATTTAGGGTAGGTAAGTACGTAATCTATTATATAAATATTGGCACTTGCCTACCCAACACTAACATGCATTCGGATATACGTGATATATATATTGAATATTTAGGATAGGTAAGTGTGTAATCTATTATATAAATATTGGCACTTGCCTATCCAACACTAACATGTATTCGGATATATATAATATATATATTGGATACTTAGGGTAGGTAAGTGCGTAATCTATTATATAAATATTGGCACTTATCTACCCTATCACTAGTATGAACCCAGATGTGGTTCGAGTGTAGGTAAGTGCATAATCTATTATATAAATATTGGTACTTGCCATAGGATTATCCATAAAAAAATATGATTTTTTTCTCAAGAACTTTATTTTTTACTAGAACATCTAAGGCACCTCTTTTTTTACACTATTTCGCATCTTGAAAGGCAACCAAATAGGTGCAAAAAGGTAAGTACCTCAATATAGAATTCGGCACCCAAACAGGTACAGAGGGCGTTATCATTAGTATAAATTTTAGAATCCAAAAAAGCACAGATAACCCACATCCTCAATATAGAACTTACCAGCTAAATGGATACAGAGGGCCAGTATTCTTAATGTAAAAT